AAATGCGCGAAGTTTTATTAGAAGTGCAGTTACGTCAAGCAGACTCTTACAAAACTAGGGCAGATTCTGGTGCATTTTTTTGCAAGCATGCATACAGAAAAAGGGAACAGTTTTGGGTAAAATTTTATTTCATAGTTTTGGAAAAAGGAGCATCTGACGGCTAAGGAGCGGTGCAAAGCACACGGCACTACAGGTGATAAAGAAGCGCGCGAAAACAGTCCCCCAAAACTGCTCTGATATATCAAGGGTCAAAAGTTTGTAAAGGGTTACGTCGATCCAGTTAGGCAGTACAGGTGCAGTGTTTGATCATTGGAATAGAGGCATGGCGGCTGCACAAGCTGAATAAATGGAAATGATGCTTGGGTATCGACAAGTGAAGCGTGAAAAGGGTTGCGATAAATTTATGTGGAGGCATGTGAATGTTTGATAGGAGTCTTGGTGGGAGCCTCTTGCTCACTAACAACAGATGATAGATGTCGTCCAAGATACAGCCATTCTTTTGAGCCACAGCCCTCGGGATGCCTCAGGCCAAAATTGCACAATTAGTAAATGTAAAGCAGGCGGTATCTCGAGGCCGATACCTGCTCGTTGGGGGGTTGATTTTGGATGCAACAAAGTTGCTGGACAACAAGGACAAGAACGGTTGAGCGGCCGGTTGGCAACGAATTGCGTTGAAGTAACTGCAAATTAAGAGGCGATAGAACAATCTGGCAATTGTGCCGATCAATTAGCTGTGTAAGGGAGGTTGTGGGCAAACGCGCGTGGTGCGAATACGCACCTGCACCAACGGGAGGGTTTGGATGGAGTGCACGTTGCTTTGCCAAGGTGACATTAGAGGCAGAGAGTGCAGTGAATAACTTTGATAGCTTGGTGACAAATGTGACTTGTACGGTGTCTGGGACATATTCAATTTTTTCAAAAGGACGATAACAGAACCGTATTATGGTTAATGACTTGGAAAACCGAAAAAATTGAAAGCCTAGTGTCTTAAGGCACTTGTGTATGAGGGAAGATTACAGAAGCTTTGAATACAATGTGATATGACTCACATTCTACACCATGCACCGCCGGGCGTTGGTAGCTATTTAAGGTACTTAGGTCAAAATCCATGTTTTGTTTATCTCATCATGACATTAGTAGGACTTATTCAGATGGCCTTCCTTGTGCACACTTGAATTCCATTGGGTTAGGTCGTTAGTACCTCAAAGTTTGGTTTCTACAAAATTTCTACAGGCCTCGAACAACGTTTCCAAAATCCTCCTTTCATGTTTTAACTAAAACATTGTCTCAGTTCCTTCCAGAAAATTTGAAACTGTTACTCTTCCAACGCAGCCGGAACAGAAATTGATATTTCACACTTGACTTTTGGCGCTCGTTCATTACTTCACTGTAGACTGCAAATACTTATGTCACACCGCCACCTCAATAATTATGGTTTTTGACATGTCACGGTGAGGTCGGTCTTCTACTGCAGTTTGGTTGTTCTCAACAACCAATTCAGCCCTCGTCATCATAAGGATTTGGCAAAATGCCTGCCAAACCCGCGCAAAGTGGACGTTTTCAAAAAAGCACTAGTATACCATTATTGTCTTTATTATCAGAATGGCGAAATTATAAAACGTTAATGATTTCAAAGGTTTATACATATAGATGATTATTCTTCGGTTTGTTTTTGGCCACCCTGTTTATATATCGCCAGATCTGCCCCAAAACTGCACCGATGTTAACTATTTTTGCAGCAGCGCCGGCGGTCTCGAGCTTGTCACTTCAGGTTCTCATATATGGTGACGTTCTTTCGCTGCCGATTTGCTTTTAAATGTAGTGCTTATCTTCATCGTGCAACTTTTACGCTTGCGGGATGTGGTACAAAAAGGAATATCCCGGGCTCGCTCCACATTGTGTTGCAATGTATTGCAATGCAACATGCTCATGCGCTGCACAGGTTGAGAGCCATTAACTCGCGAATGAGAACCAGACATGGCCGTTCAACACGGCGATGAAACCAAACCCAGGGTTTTTCGGAAAATTCCGGTTGTGTGAAAATAATGGAATGGCTCTCGTGTCGTTACGGAGCGCGTGGATGTGGGCTGGCAATGAGTAAAGGCGGGATTTATGCAAAAATTTCTGTTGATTGTGAGTGGCTATGCTTTCCCAAAGATCGAGTAAGCTGACATGTTGGTGGAATTATCGTAGTGATCGAGGAATCTGAGTAACCAGGCCACAACGTTCATCCTAGTGCCAGTTAGCATAAATATCCAAGTAATGCTCTTCGAGTTCATGCAAGTAATCCGGTAATTGAGATTTCCGATGATACAAATTTTGCTTTTTTGATTTTTTAAATTTTCTATTGCTTTGATTTTTAACTCTTGGTCAAAGTCTTTCCTTCAACCGTATAAACGCTGCTAGCAAAATTTCGGCATGGAATTTTTTAGGAGTTCCAATCAGACAGAAATGTTGCACAAATGTCTCTCAGAATTTCTGGGTTATTTTCACCCTCGTCAAATCTCTTGCGGAAAACCTCGCTGAAAAATAGCTCCAAGGTTTTGTCGGTTTTCGGTTTATTGTAACTCTAACAAAGGACTACAATTTAGCTCCTAAAATGGGGTTATTCGGGTAATCTGGAATGGTTTTGCCCAAGGTCCGCTCCAGTCTGAAAAATATTGCATGATAAAGGGTTTTTCGTTATTGGACATGCAAGTTTTTGATTTTATCCTTACCGGACAAGAAACCTTGTCCACGTGCCTGTTATACCGAAGCAGCTGTGGCTTTTTGATCAGATCCCTCGTTCACATCCGCACCTGCTTCAAACCACCTGTATGGTCGATATATACTTCACACAGTCTGCGCTTCATATCTAAGGATATCTCCAGATATACCGAAAATACCTATAATCTTTCACCGGTTTTGTTCTACCTGAGTGGACCACCTTGGTTAAGCAGAAATTCTTCTCTCCACGGAATTGCACATCCTTAGTCCGAACACCATAGCCGTAACGTCCTTTACGAGGCTGTAAAGAAACGGAGCCATCAAAATGCTGTGATGGCAAATCACTGCCATACCCAGTTTGATTGCAATTCCAAAACTGCGCCCTCTCTACTCTAGACTGTGCTCCCTCGCCCGCCGGTTACATTATTTGCAGCGATGAACGAATTCTTCATCTGGTCCCATCCACCTGTGTGTCGGGTTCTGTTTCACACACCGGACATTTCGTTTGGAAATGATCCTCACAGGTTGCCTACAGATCGAGCTCCACAAAACGTTGCTTATTTTCTTCACAGTTTGCGTTCGTTTGTGCTGGTCTGGCTACCCAGTAAGTTACTTTAACAGGTGTGTGCGGCCAAAGAATAAGGATAACAGTGCTAGTTCGAGTATACGATAATAAAAAGTCGTATGGAACAGACTTACTAAGTTGTTCTCTTTATAATCGTACATCATTGGCCCAGGTAAGCAAATAAACGATAATCTAATCATGGTTGTTCAGGGGTCTTCTAAACCGTTGCCACATATAATAAATTTAGATGTTCTGAAATGTTTTGACACCAGATTTAGCACATGAGACTCGCGAATGACCGATGTAGGCGCGAGCGAAATCAGAAGAGAGTCGAGGCATGTGACCACTTTTGTATTGCGTGAAATTGTTCATGTTTTTGTAGTTTTTCATATTCAACCAAAAAACGGTAACAAACTTGACAAAACGTGTAATATCATTAAGAAAGCAAAATAAAGGCACAAAACGCCACACCGTCCTGTGTGTTGGCGCCAACTCTGTCACACGGGCAATTTTTACGACAGACTGCTCCAGCTGCGACACCAGTGCGCCTATCCGATTTTACTGCGCACCATGATTTTTAGATACCCGTTATAATTTGTGCGTACAGTGAACTTTTCCAATTCGTCATCACTAATTGGACTTTCCTTGACCCTGGCTGCAAACCCAACATCTCAAGGCCACGCGACTGCAGCTATAGTTTTTTGTTTTAGTACAAATTAACCGGCGGATCACTTTTGCAATGCTATTTCACCAAATCTGTTGTTCTGGTTCCCAATCTCTTATCACGCACCATGAAGGTTACCTTCATTTGTCTTCCTCCACTGTCTCGTGGCTCATTATCTTAAAAATGTAACTTTCTGATCTTTTTGCAGCTTGTTATATTCCTTAAGGGACAAGAAGTGTCCATAACGACAGCTCCTCAGCCCCCGGGTGTTTACCGCATTTTGAGTGTGTAAGTTTAGGTTTCAAAGCGTGTGCGTCGTATAGTGCCCAACATTTGTGCAAATGCTCTGTTTCTGTGCAATCCTGAGAATTCAAAAATCCTATCAGTCATGCTTTTTATTTTGACCGTACTATCATGATCGTTTCTGACGCTATGCTACTAGCCAGCTAAGAGTAAGCACCATGTTACATGTTTCCATCTCTTGTATCTGGATGACAGGGCACCGTTGTAAATAAAGTTACAGGTAGCAGCATAGATTGAAGGTGCCTGCACAATAAAGGGTTTCAGAGGACACTGGGATTAAGCGTACCTTCCTTGGGTCGGCTCGTGCATTTTCAATGGATTTGAAGTCGAGAAATATTGGTAAATGGTGTGAACTTACACACAATAGAAGTCCCATTCATTGTTGCTTAGAATTCCATTTTGCGTGGTGTATTATGATGCAGTCGTATTTGTTCCAGGAATCCGACACTAAGAGGGTGCCACTCACGGCGTGTAGATTGTTGTGTTTGGGGGTTTGAAGAGGCTGCTGTTAGTAGCATTGAGGCTTGAAAGTTGCCAATGCATAAGGGCCCCTTGAATTTACGAAATAACCGAAACCCTCTTTCTTTTACTTGAATTTACAGCTGATCCTTAGCCCTAAATTTTATGCCGGGCGTCCCACTGATAAATTAGGACTTGATTTATGTTCACAAGCCTGCAAGTACCAAGGGTTTCCATGGTGTGAGAGATACAGTTATGTCTTGAGGGACGGCGTTCCGTTAAATATGTTTCGGTGTGTTTTAGGTGTTGGACGCGGGACATACGGGTCGGAAACTAGCAGAAGCGTAAGGAAATCCGGAAGCATTTTGCCGGCAATAGCCATCCATAACATTAATAATGTTTATTTCATTTTGGTGGGTGTCACACCGTTGAGATGGCCATAAAAGTACAGCCATAATAGAGGCACGGCTTGTGTCATTATTTCGGAGACCAGGAATGCATGGAAGCGGAACTGTGACGAATATAGCGAGCGTTCGCCAACATAGATGAGGTCACACCTAAACTGGCACACGCTAAACGCAGTAGACTTCAGGGACCGGGAAAGAAAATTATTAGAATTTTCGAGCACGTAGAAAATATGCCAAATTTGGGCAGCGTCAGGCAGTTACACCTCAAAGGTATTGAGCAACAACGCAGCAGAGTAGAAAAACCAAGGGGCTCCGCTTGACACTCCATAAGAAACTGCAAATGGCGTAAAATAGGAAACCAGAAATACAAATTTGGAAAAGTAGGAGTATTTCAGTGATGCGGCCGGCCAGTTACAACAGTAGTTAAAAACTGCTGCTAAGGTCACTTGGCTTTAAAAGGGTGGTCACGCAGTTGCAGCGGAGTTATGCAGAAGGCAAAGAAAAATGATGAGGCTGAGAATTTCACAAAATAGATAAATGGTAGCGGGCGTCCCAGAATCCTTATTTATGGCGAAATCGAATATACTCACTTGTGTCGTTATTGGGGTAAAATCAGATGCACAAGTCTTCTGAAGGGTGAAGTAGGTAAGGATGAAGTAACACGACTTTCAATGTTTTTCGGGGGTGGAAGTCAAGTGGGAACTTTAGCGTCAGCCCCCTCACCTCATGTTTTAGATTCACAGTAGTAACAGGTAGGGAAAGGCCGTGACGAGACCAAACTGCATGTAGTCTCGACTAAAAGACTTCAACCTAATGAGGTAGCAGACGATAGCCGTTTTAGATATTTCTGGGAGAGAATCATCAACCGTTTTTTGCTTCAGCAAATAACTCAGTCAATTAACTCGGTCAATTCAAAATGAGAAGAAGAATTTGTGGAAAATGCCAGGCAAGTCGGACACGGTTCGTTTCAGCGATGAGCTCTAGGACTAGTATAGCGTCTAAGGTTGGGTTGGGGAATTCGGGGTCCAAAGCTGCGTTAGTGTTAGCGCAGCTTAAAGAGAGACCACTTAAAGAGGAACTCGAGCTTGAGTCATAGGCAATGAAAGCTAACCTTAAAAAACAAATCCTGAAGGCCGAAGCCGAGGTGGAGTTGGCTGAGCTCGAAGCTTCGTTGGCTGGAAGCGAAGACGGTTTAGAGCAGTGCAACCGGTCAGGTTTTTCAGAGTCCTCAAAAAGCTATGTTGAAGATTGCAGAAAGATTGTAACGTCATTGAACTCTGAAAATCGTCTCGGAGTAGGAGAACGACAGCATAATAGATTAGGTTACTTCCGTCATCTGAAATCCATTATAGAGGGCCTGGAGTTACCTAAAATCGGCCTCATGCAGTTTGGTGGTCAACCCAGGAGCTATTGAAGGTTTATGCGTCAATTCGAGCTTTACATCGAAAACAAGACCCAAGACGAGGGAAGGAGGCTAGTACAATTGGTAAACGCGTGCTCCGGTGTAGTCAGGAAGGCTACCGAAGAATGCCTCATGCTTCAGCCTGCGTAAGGATGTGGACGTGCCCGCCGAATTCTACACGAGTTTTTCGGAGGGTCTCATGTGGTTGCTAGGGCCCTGATAGATGATCTCATTAAATGCTTTCGTTCTACCTCGTGTAAGGCAAAAGATCTGACCCAGTTGGCCTTCAAGATGCAGAGTTGCGAAATAGCTCTGACTCAGATAAGCTACAGTGCAGAACTGAGTTCCCTGGAGAATTTGGACATGTGAGTGAGGTGCTTGCCTAATACTTTACAACACAAGTGGGCGGAATTCGTTTACCAAGCCACTCATGATCAGGGAGAGCCAACCTTCGCCGAACTCACACAGTTCGTTACTCAAAGGGCGAGAGTGTTAAACAGTCGTTGCGGCCTTCCGGCAGAATCCGTTACGCAAAGGGATCAAGGTGTACGTGGCCAAGCTGTTACGAATGCAGGCAAGAGCAGAACCGCTTATGGTCATGCGATCGTTCGCTCACATCAGGCCCCACTGTTGAGCGAGTTCGGTTGTAAGGTTTGTGGTGGTAAACACACTATCAACAGCTGCGAGCGCTTTCTGTCTTTCGAGCCAGTGCAAAGATGGTCCACCTCAAGGCCTCTTAATGCTTGTTTTCTGTGTCTTGAAGGCGGCCACAAAGTAAAGGACTGCCAACTGCAATATCGATGTGGGGCGGATGGATGCCGAGCAAAACACCACGCTCTGCTACATTCAAAACCACTAGATAAAAAAGCAGAGTAAGTTCATGTAGTCAGAAGCAATGTACTCACTGACCGCAAGACGGCTGTTTCCCTAGGACTACTTCCAGTTCGTCTAAGAGGTCCTTCGGCGGAACTGATCACGTATGCCTTCTTAGACAGTGGCTCCGATACCACCATCGTGCGTCATAACTTGCTGTACCAACTCGGCATACAGATTCATCGAACGCCGCGTGAAATACAGAAAATCAGTGGATCTTGTTTAGCAATAGGACAATCTGGAAGTTTCGAGGTGTGTCCACTTTACAGTGATGAGGTTCTTTTGGTGAAGAGTACTTCAGTAGTATCTGGAATCCTCCCATCATTAGTCGTGGACTCACACTCAGAAATTGCAAGTCGCTGGGTTCACCTGAAAGAATTGCCCTTTGAGGATATTCCGTCTAAATCGGTTGGTATATTGGTTGACTGTGACGTTCCAGAAGCTCACTGGGCGCTAGATCAGCGGTTAGGAGGCTAGTAGGAGCCATTTTCCGTGAAGAAACCGCTGGGTTGTGTTATTCTTAGGCCACTGGGTCCAGGTAACCGTGTGGGAGTCGCCGCCAGCCGCCTGTCGTCAGTAGAGCCATCATTGGAGGGTCAACTCCGTGCTTTATACGATGCCGACTTTGCAGACATTGATTCCGCCTTCCGTCACTGACGCAAAGTGTCTTGTGCAAGGAATAACGGACGTACCGTTCAAATGGGGGTTTCACCTTCATAAGTGGGTCAGCAATTTCCCCGATGCACTGCAAGGGCTCCCATCGTCTGACCGAATGGAAGCTGTAGTAGAGATGTTTCCAAAGACGATGAATACACAGCGGGCGTTGTGCTTTGAGTGGGATTTATCTTCTGTCATCTTTTGTTTCCGGTTTCACATTCCCGAGAAACCACTAACGCGAAGAGGAATCCTAGCAGCTGTTTGCTCGCTCTTCGATCCACTAGGATTGGTATCCCCTGTATACTTAACCGCGAAACAGCTGCTACAGGAACTTTGTAAGGCCGGTCTGGGTTGGGACTCTCCTGTCAGTGAAGACCACTCAATTAGGTGGCATTCTTGGTTGAACTTGGTCAAGTCGATAGGAGTTGTGCAGTACCCGAGACCCTTGCTCCCTGACGATATTGTGGGTGTCTGTAACCCTGAGCTTCATGTATCTCAGACGCGTCGGAAACAGGTTATGGCGTCGCTGCATATGCACGTGTTGTGTCAAGCGATGGTCGATTGGCACGCCGTTTGATTTTCGGAAAATCCAGAGTTGCCCCGTTAAAGACCGTTACCGTTCTGAGGTTAGAACTTGCTGCCGCTGCATTAGCCACCAGTGTCTATAAGCTACTTATTGAAAGTTTACCCAACTTCTTCGCCATGGGCACTCTCTGGACGGACTCACAGATAGTGCTTCATTACATCAATAATCAAACCGCGAAGTTTTGTGCCTTTGTATCCAATAGGCTAGCCATTATTCAAGAATACTCCCCACCGAGTGAAATCATCGCAGAACCCTGCCGACCTAGCGTGCAGGGGTATTAAAGGAACGGACGATTTGAGTCACTGGATGTATGGACCAGAGTTTATCAACGAACCGAAGACTGTTGTGTCACCTTTGACCCCTGATCGGATACCCGATGGCGTGGAGCTGAAAGCGAGCCGAGTAACTATTAACGTTATTTCCACTCGAAGTGTTTCCGGGCGTTTGTTTGCCCGATCGTCTAGCTGGTTTGTGTTGCTGAAACCAGTTGCATGGTTGAGGCGATTTATCCACTACATCATGCACAAATTTGGAAGGTCTGTCGTCATGCCGTTTGTAGGTCACCTATAAGTGAAAGAATTGACAGAAGCTCGGGTGGTCGTTATTCGTCAGGTTCAAGCAGATGTATACAGTGATGAGTTAACTCTTTTAAAAGCGGACACTCAGTCGGAGCCGATTAGGGCCTTAGTACTGCGCAAGCTGTGTCCCATTCTTCTGGACGGTGTTCTCTGAGTTGGTGGACGGCTCCACTATTCCAGTTATGCATTATCCCTGAAGCAGCCGCCTATCTTACCCAATAAACACCCGGTCACTGACCTACTCATTCGGTACTATCATGTAGCAGAAGGGCATTCCGGCGCCCTAGGCGTTACTAGGCAAAATGCTTGGATATTTCATGGGAGTCAGGCGGTGAAGCGCGTCCTCCATAAGTATATTCAATACAGAAAGCGGTCAAGGAACACATGTCAGCAGATGATGGCTCCGTTACCCCGGTGCGATCTGAAAAGGGTAAATAATTTTTACAGGCCGTGGGTGTTGATTACATTGGGCCATTTCTGGTAAAGCGTGGTCGCAGCATGGAAAAGTGATACGGCTGCATCTTTTCATGCATGGCTGCCCGAGCGATTCCCCTCGAAGTCCCGCATCCTTTAACTACCGATTCCCTTAATTTGGCGTTAATGAGGTTCGTCGGTCGAAGAGGGAAATCTTTGGATATTTACAGCGATAACGGATCCAACTTCGTTGGTGCCGTTAAAGAACCAAGCAAAAATCAACAACCGACTGTTGGCTTGAGGTATTCAGTGGCATTTTAACCTCCCGCTAGCTAGCCATCGAGAGGAGTGTGTAAGCGAATGATACGATCAGTGCGGCAAATCATTTTTGTGCTCATCCAAGAGCAAACTCTGTCTGATGATTGTCTGTC